TTATCCAGTTAGTGAATTTCTTGCCAAAATTTACATCAGATATTTTGTTGTATAACTTAACTACCCAGAATAAATCTTTGACGCTAAGGTTGTCATAGGCGACTATGAAATAATATAAGTAGGAACATTTATATAAAGCATATTTCTTTCTGGAAGTTTGATCTCATTTTCAAGCTCAGTACCTCTGACAGGAAGAAGGCAGCAGGAAGCAACTTATCAAATCAAAGACTTGTGGATCTTCTCTATTGCAAATGTCAAAATCCCTGAAAATTATTTTGTAAAATGACTGATGTTCTACATATACCGGGTAACTAACAATGCAGTACTTGCACATCTGACCTAAATAGTATGTTGCTTGACTGGCCCAGATTGTTACAGAATTAAGGGCATAGAATAGTGGATGATTCAATTAGGTCCCTGAAGCAGAGAGAGGGGAAATACCTGTGGTTTAAGATATATGATATTATTATATACTGATTGCTTTGCTTTTAGTTAAGAAATAGCAGGGTAACTCACAGTAAGAATCTCACTTTATCCTTTAGGATTTTATTTTAGCTCTGAATTTTTCTGATTTTATCAAGTAGAGGTAGGCTATTGGAATAAACACTAAGCAGAGCTTTTACTCATATTATCTCTCTATGTGACTAAGTTTTCAACATAGCCACAGCATCATATTCCAGCCACTCTTGGGAGGAGTGGAGGTTCACACTGCATTATTTTGCTCTCAGTATATTCCCTGGAGTGGGGATGGACAGCAGAGGTAAAACTGAGTATGCCCTAGCAATGGGCTACCAGTCATTTTTGTGCATTGGCCCCAATCTTTTCTATTAGTCACCTCTGCCCAGGCCCAACCTCCAGGAAATCTTGAAAAACCTTTTCCATTCCTCTAATGGTGTACTCTTGAGAAATACTGGCTGCTGCACAAAGGCACAAAATCCTGTAACACCCACTGGCATTTCTTTTGGGTTGCAAGCCAATACAATTACCTACCAAGCCTTCTAGTCACTTTCACCCACTCAGTGAACAGAAGGCTCTTTAAGCAGACACTGGAGGGAGCCAAACCGTTGACTTGAAGGGAAATTTTGGGTAGCTAATCAAACCTCTCTCCTGCTCTACTACCTACCCACTTCCACCCCTCCAGCTGTCTCCTGCAAGCCTGACCCTATTTGGTGGGAAACTTTTGTCCAGTTTATGGATACAAATTAAAAGTGATTTCATTAGATTCTTAAATCAGGTCTGCCTAATCTTGCTGTTGCTCTGTTTTTGTGTGTCTTCATGATTTCAACTGTCACCACGCTAGTAACCGTAGCATGTTATAATATACTGTTTCAGATGTTCTCCTTAGCCTGCTGTGCTTCTTTAGGATTCTTATGGTTTCCAAAGAACAGTTGAATTGTCAAAATATTTTTTTTATTATTATTTAGGCCACCATTTATGAACAAATTTGGGTAATCAAGTCTATTCACATGAAAATGTACATACATTCACTCACTTGCAGGCTAAATAACTACTAAGGAAATAATTCTTCTTTCATTCATAGTGGCTTTAAAGTGGTTTAAATTAATTCTAACCATCCCCTTTTTCTACCCATTGGATTGATTTAACACCCTTTGATGGTGTTGTTTGGGCTTTTCTCTCACATGCTAATGAGGCATTCTCTTCAGCTACCACAACTTCATGTAATCCTTGGGCAATTCTCACACTTTCTAATGACCCCTTCTTTAGAGATCGGGAAACTTGGAGAGGAGAAGAGGGAAGTGAGTTGCTGCCTAATATACACTTACCCTGAAAATATATTCTGAAAATGGAATTGTAGCTGACTTCCCCTACCCTGGAAGAGTAACTGTACTGAGGAAGAGACTCATTCCCACCTGCCATGCACAGACTGTCTATTTAACCAAAAGCAAACTCTGTTGTTTTCCCAGCAACTTGACTGATCATCAGGTGGTGATTTTAGAAGCAGAAGGAAGTCTATCTTCTGGGAACCTTGCTTTATCCTTAGATTTCCCTTGAGCATGAAATTTACAAATGTCCAGAGAATAAGCTCCTTTTAGGGTTTGCTTTCTCATAACTCTGGGTGAAAAGCCTGGATTAAGATGGTCAAAAGGAGAAATAAAAGGAAAGTTCCTGTCTTACTATCTCAAGATAATAAGTATTTCTACATGGAGTCTTCTAAGACTCAAGACTGGCTGGTGACCATGTCTTCCTAAGCAACCTACAGAAAATAACTAGATGGAACCTGTAATCAAATCAAAGCCCAAGGTGAATGTGCTAAAACAGTGGTTCTCTACATTGGCTGCACATAACATTACATTTAAAAACTTTCCATGCCTACACCCCACCCCACTCCAACAAAATCAGAATTACTAGGGCTGGAGCTCTGTCATCAGTATTTTTCAAATCTTCTCACATGATTCCAGGAGATGGCCAATTGAGAAACACCACACTAAGAACTAGGGAAAGAGGTGTTAAAAACTCTGAAACACAAAGCCTCTGCTATCAAGAGTGCCTCTGCCCAGCAATGTCCATAATCATGTTTTTTTTCTGTGACAAGATTTTAGCCAGAATTAAGACTAGAAAATCTTAACATTTGTCTACTCGTCACAAAGTAATGTTTTTTGATGTCTTCTATCTCACGAGTAGATCATTTTAAGACTTAGCTGTGTACTCCTGTCTTGATTGTAGACATGAGCATTATTTCGTTTTCCAAAAGTGCAGCCATAGTTGGAAGCAACACTGAATGTGAAAATAATAACATGGACATTTCTCAACAACTGTTTTATATATTTTGCTCCATTCCAAGTCATTCTCTTCTGTCTAAAAACATGTCCAATATTTTAATTGTATCAAAAAACCTTCCCAAGACTCCATCTTCCTTCAAATCACTGCTCTCTTCTTACCTTTGTGATTAAACTTAATGTAAGAACATAATATACTTAGTCTCTCAATGTAGGATCTCAACTTAGTCTCACAATCTGTTTACTCCTTCTCTCTCTGTAGTATCATTTCTGTTCCTACCACACTACTATTTTCCTAGTCCTAGATCAGCAACACATTCCAAATCTAGTGATCACCAAATCCAACAACTTCTCCTCACTTCTCAGACATTTGAAACATAGCTCTAAATATTTCAAACCTTCTTCTAAAGCACCCTCATTACCCTGGTTTGTTTTCTATCACTGTGTCATCTTTTCCTAATTCTGTTTCCTTAATGTAAGTATTTTACAATGTTCTTTTGTCAGCTCTCTTTTCTTTTGATACCAAGATATTTTAAACTAAGGCCTACAAAATTTTGTGCCTGTGTGTTTGCACATTTTTCTGGCAAGGAAATGCACAGCTTTCATCATATTCACAAAAGAGTTCATAACTCAGATAGGATAAAGAACTCATGATAAACTCAGTCAGAAACGTTCTCTGCTTCTATAACTACATCTATCAACATCTAAGCAGCTAACTGGTAGTGCTTTACCTCTAATCTTCTTCCCAAATTCCAAGTTCACATTTCCAAACACCTGTCAGGAAATTTCTTAGGTCTTTTAATGGACTCTCATTTTCTCATACATCCAGGAACATGACCTTGGAAAGCCAAAAGAATTTCTGCCTGCACATCTTGAGTCAGCAAATCCAACTGGTTCCATTTCCAAATGGCATCTTGAATCCACTCCTCTTCTTAATCCCCACATTTACCATCTTGCTTAGAACTTGATTTCCTCTTAACTGTTGTATTAGTAGAATCTCTAACTTGACTGATTTCCCTTTGTCTTTTTCATCTTAATCATGTTGTACACATCAATCAGATCCATCTTTCTTGGCTTCCACTCTAATTTTTTCCTCTGCTTAAAACCTTCATAGTCGCCAATTTATTATTCAGGCTTTTAAGCTCCTCACTGGGTGGCTCTAATTTACATTTTCATGTTCGGCGTCTAATTTCCTTATTCATTCTCTCTAAACTGTAAGCTGCACAACTCTCCATTCTCAGAAGATATACTGTATTTTCTTGACCTTTAGATGTGCATTGTATTACACCCAAGACAAGGTACACTCTCTCCCAACAATTCCTTCAAAAATCCTGCTTATCCTTGAAGGTTTATTTCAAATGTAGCTTTCATGAAATATGTTCAAACTACTAACTGAAATATGAAATACTTTATTTTGGAGACAGTCTTGCTCTGTCTCCCAGGCTGGAATGCAATGGCACGATCTCTGCTCACTACAACCTCCGCCTCCTGGGTTCAAGTGATTCTCTTGCCTCAGCCTTCCCGAGTAGCTGGGATTACAGGTGCCCACCGCTATACCCACCTAATTTTTATATTTTTAGTAGATATGCAGTTTCACCATGTTAGTCAGGCTGGTCTTGAAATTCTGACCTCAAGTGATCTGCCTGCCTCGGCCTCCCAAAGTGCTGGGATTGCAGGCATGAGCCACTGCGCCTAGCCATCCTTTTATTTCTTGACCAAAAAGAAATTCTAAAACCTACTCATTTTTTAAAACTCAAATCTAATGTCACCTAATCCAAGATACGTTTTTTGTTTCCCCAATTTTATAGATGTAGCCTTCCATACATTTCTGCAACCATTTTAAGAGCACCTACTCACCTCAGTGTATGGGAAATATGTATTTTCATCTATGACTCTAATATGGCTTGGATGTTTGTCCCTTCTGTCACATTTTTAATATTCAAGGGTAAATAACTATTCTTTCATTTCTTATGCCCTGAAGTTAGCACAGTATCTAGCCCATAGTAAAAGCACAACATCACATGTCTCTCAATGATTTTATTTACCAAATTCTGTGACCATATTTTGTTTCCAATAAAATGCATATGTATTCCCAACAAGCAACTCATGAGTAGGCTCTATCTTACTCACCCCATGTCTATTAATATCTACTGGAATGAATTATTTAAAGTTATCTGAGAAAATTTAGGGCAGGCGTCCCCAAACTTTTTACACAGGGGGCCAGTTCACTGTCCCTCAGACCGTTGGAGGGCCACCACATACTGTGCTCCTCTCACTGACCACCAATGAAAGAGGTGCCCCTTCCTCAAGTGCGGCGGTGGTGGGGGGCGGCGGATAAATGGCCTCAGGGAGCCGCATGCGGCTGGCGGGCTGTAGTTTGGGGATGCCTGGTTTAGGGTGTGTCAACATTGGGAATTGCTTTAATCTAGAGGTCTGACTACAACCTCCAGTTCTTTTGATAATCTCACTTTCTGGTTCCGATGTCAAGTGCTCATCAACTGGACATTCCAACCCTTGATTCAGTTCTCTCAGATGATTAGTCCTGCTTTGACCTCACTTCATTTGAATCTTTGCTCAATATAAATTCTATCCTTAATTATTTGAACCATTCTTCTACTGGAATACTTAATTTCCCAGTCTCCTTGTCCATTCACTGACCTTAACATTCAAAAGGTCCACTGGACATTCAGTCAATGTAGCACTACTGGAAACCAATCACCCACAAAAAAAAGCCACATTTTTCTTTATTAAACAGGTTCAACTGAAAAGAAACAAACTATAATTTTCCTGTTGCTGCCATACTTCTGGGGGTTTTATTTTTATTGCTGCTTCCACTGTTTTGTTTTTTTCTACTCCTGGATAAAAACTCAGCCAGGTCACATAAATTAATCAATCTTGGGTCATAAAAAGTCTACTCCATTCTAAATAGTATCCAGTCTAGTCTAGTGTGAAATCAGGCAAATATAAAGGTTTTTCTGTTTTGTTTTGTTTTGGTTTTGTTTTGTTTTGTTTTGTTTTTCCCTAGCTCAGAACTATTGACTCTTAGGAGGCCTGTAATGGAGAAGGGATTAAAACTAGTATTTTTTTCTTTTCCTACTTTGCCTTCTCCCCTATTCCATAGATACTGCCTTGGCCCTTCCACAGTTGGGGTAAGGTAGGGAATATTGAGAAAGGAAATAAATGGGCAATAAAAGTCTATCTTGACAGGCACAGCTGTGACCTTCCATCACTTCCTTCTATACATAATATGTATCCAAAGGTGGCCTATGGAGCATGTTTACATTGTCTGCTTGCCTAGCTTTCCCTCTCTTTGCAATAAGGACATGTATAGCTTTCTAGACATAGTAGTGCCTTTCCTCCAGATGCCACCTTATCTCAAGTGATTTCCTAGGATGTTTTTTTTTGGTTTTTTTGTTTTGTTTTGTTTTTTTTGTTTTTTCGTTTTTTCAGAAGACCATGGCTGGCTCCCCTGTGGGGAAACACATCCAATGTGTGGGAAACACACCTTTACCTCCCAGTGATAGATGCAACTAGCTCCCAAAGCATCCTATTGCCTTATTGTTCTGCCAGCTCCAGCCAGACCCTTAGCTTTTAACCATGTCCCCTAGACTTTAGAAGACTCATGCCAAGCTTTCCAGAGAGTTTTCACAAATGCTTTTCTCTGACTTAGATAAAAATGCACAAAAGCATCCACTCCCCTCTCTATGGTTGTGCAGAGCGTGGTGAATATATAGAAAAACAAAAACAATTGCTCTCCAACAGACTGCCTCTTATTCAGTGTCTTTTAGATCAATATTGACTCTTCTCTATACCCAAAAAAGGTGATAAACTAAGGGTTGCAAAACAAATCTCACAGTCTTTCAGTATGTCTTGCATAGATAAGCTGTTCTCTATGGGATTGTTACCAGGTTTAGGGCTCCAGGCAATCTGAAACAGAAAGATTCCCCAAGTGTATGTATCGTATTTCCATACTGGTATCACTTACATCAAAGGCATGACTGAGCACTCAGCACAATCCATCCATTCCCTTATTGTCCTCGCTTACTTTATCTCTCATTCTCCCCTTATAGCCAAAGCCTTTCCTCTCTACTCAACTGGCATCATCCTTACTTGTGGGGGAAGTAAGTGTAGCAAGCGATCTCTCCTCCTATTACTTCAACTGGAAAACTAGAACTATCAAGAATGATTCCTCTCAATTATCCAAACATCTATCCACTTCAAAACTCACTAGAACACCCATTCTTTCCTCCCCTCGGTAACACCCATTCTTTTCTTCCCACCAGTATCAGAGAATGCAGTTTTCTATCTCAGGACCAAAACCAAGCCTTCTATCTACATTTTCAAGTTTCTCTCACTACCTCTCTGGTTTCCTTTATATCTTCCTGGAATATCCTGTTTATGCCATCTGCTGCCAAGTTGCTTCCTCACCTGGACATCTCAGACAATTCAAACTGGATGTCCCAAACTGAATCCATTCTGTCTCCAAATATGCTCCTCCTCAGTGTGTCAGCACCACCCTCACCCCTGGTTGCCCAAACAAGAAACATGGGAATCAATACTGACTCCTTCCTCTATTTCCATATTTAATCATTCTCTAAGTCCAAAAAATTTTTGACTCCGACTATTTTTATATCTTTTGCCTCCTACCCACATATACCTGCCCTAAACTAGACCGTCACAACTTCTAAACTAGTCAACTATAGCAAGCTCCTAACTTACCTGCCTGCACTAAAGTCCTGTTCCCATCTAAAACCAGTATGTTGATTACCTACTGTTGTCTAACACATTGCACCAAAATGTAGCCATTTAAAACAAGCATTTATTATTCTTTCTCATAGTTTCTGATGGTCAGCAATCCAGGCATAGCTTAGCTGGGTGATACTGGCTCAGCTCTCTCCAGAAATTGCAGTCCAGCTGTTGGCTTGCTCTGATGTCATTTGGAGGCTTGACTAGGACCAAAAGATCCACCCTCATGTGGTTGATGTTTACCACATGTGGTTGTTGGTAGATGGCCTCCATTCTGTCCACATGGGCCTCTCTACAAGTCTTTCTGAGGGTCCTTACATAGCACCTGTCTCTCCCAGAGCCAGCAGTCCAAGAAAAAGAGAAGAAAGAGGAAGCCACATGACTTCTATGATCTAGTTTCTGAAGTTATACACCATCACTTCATTTTATTCTCTTTGTTAAAAGTGAGTCATTAGCCCACATTCAAGGGGAGGGCAATTAGGCTCTACCTTCTAAGAGAAGGAGTATCAAAGAACTTGCAAATAGATTAAAATCACCACAGGCACTACAATCCTTTACAACTTTCAGAAAAAAATCTATTAAAGCTGCAAATCTATGAACGTCATCTCATTTAATAAACACCTAAAAGATGTCTCCCATTATCCACAGCTATAGTCAAAGTTTCTTTGCATAGCTTACAAGATTCAGTAATCTGATCCCTTGTAATCTGATCACAACTTTAGGTCCTCATCAGTCCTTATTCATATATGATTTTCTAAAATGCTAAATTGCTAATTATTCACTATATATTACTGTTTCTTGACCCCAAGATTTTTCTCAGACCTACACTTTCTGCATAGAATTCCTTGCTCTCTGAGTGGCTATTATATTCATCTATTAAATCCCAATGCATTTATCACTTTTGCTTAACAAGATTTCTCAGAAATATGACTCCTACCCCTAGGCCAAGGACTCATCTTTTCCTCGCTTCCTAATATATCTTTACAATAAGTTTTCTACTGTGTATTTTCTTTATTTTCTATTGTGCATTTCTCTTTATACAAATAGGCTATAAGCTCACTGAGGGAAACATATTATTCACTTTGTTTCCTTATATAAGTTAGTATAAAACTAGTTGCTATAATAGACAGTGCCCCAAATCAAATTTTTTCTACATTTTGATTACATATTTTATGTTTAAGGCTTCTTGGAGAACTACTAGTATAATTAAGGTGGTCTAAGAATTGCCAAATGCACTTTAGTTCCTTCTGGAAAGATACCACCATTTTCGAGTAGGATTTATAGACCCAGGACATCCTTCATAGCAGGTCAGAAAGGATATGCCGTGCTTAGCTGTAAGTCTTTAAGGAAAACACCACATCCTGCTTTCAAAGTATTCTGTGTCTCTTTTAGTTGGAAGTTTCAAGACAGCCAGAAATTAAAACTCAAGCAACCCTAGCCTGAAAACCAGCAAACAAAATCCAAGTATGGACAGAGTTAATAACCTACCAGTTGTCTTTAAAAAGTAACACTAACACAGAGAATAAAGCTCCCAGTTCTATAGCCAGATCTGGACCTAACATGTTCTTGGCAAGCTTGCAAATAGGGTTAGGAATGAAGGTGAACTACTGAAATCAATGCTCTGAAACCATTATCCTAAAGAATTATACTTCAAGTAGCATCCTGATGTGATTGATCTCTAGTCAAGTTTGCCTTCTCCATTTTCTAGGCAAAGTCTTAAATCCAAAGTAAAAATGAAGAAACCAAAATTATTCTTGCTAAAAGAAGCATTGCATGTATTTTAAAATTTTCCATAGATTCAAATGTCTCAGAATTTTTTTCCCTGAAATATGTTCAAGAAATAAAAATACTAAAAATAATTCACAGTGTAGACTTTTTAAAGTGAGATTTAAGTTCTCAATAATTTAAAAACTATCTTTATTCTGTTAATTCTTTCAGCAATGGGAAAGATGTGAGAGTAGGTGGCAAGAAACCTAAGCAATAACAATAAAGAAAGAAAGAAATACCAAAAGAAGGAAATGATTGTGCTCGTCAGCGTATTGTCCCATTAGGGGAAAAAACAAAAACAAAAATACTCTTAAGCCTTAGGCTTTTTTTTCCCTTAAGCTAAAGCTCTTAGCAGAAGCTACATGAATTTCATCAATATGTTTATATAATTCCAAGCCAAGAAATTCTATAAAGATTACCAAAGTATTTGATGTAGCTTCTGGCAAGGGATGAAGTACATCTCACAAGAACCTAGAGAAAAATATCTGTGAGAAGAGTTGCTGATCTGATCAAGAAGATTTTGGATTAAAATTGGAAGAAGACAAAAATATCTCAATATAAGTATAAGACTGAATACCATGAAAACCAATACATATACTAACAAAAAATAAATAAATAACAAGAGGAAATACCAAGTAATTATCTGTAGAAAAGCAGCAGGATATGGGGACTGTGAAAAATACATTCTCAAATTAATATACAAAAGACAGAATAAATCTAACAGATATAATAAATTGTATTTTAAGACAGATATAATCTCATAAGTATATTCTAATTTTAATGGCATAATCAGTGACTAAAATATGTAAAATTTATGTTAAAAAATTAAACTGGGCCTGATATGT